TATTTGCATTAATATTAACCAGCTACCCTACTCTTGTTTGTGGTTGAGAAATCTCATTTTCATCTTTCTTGCTGAAGAAGTCTGTGTAACTTGAAAGCATACATACTTGTAACAGTCAATTGAATAAAGAAAGTATATTTTGACCTATCTACTATTTCAGAATCTGATATTACTATAGGGATCTAGTTGAAACTTGTTTGGATATTGTAATATCTGATATTGCAATTGATATAAAACAGACTCACAAGCTGATCAGTTTCCAAAGGCAGTAGAGACAAGACTTATTTCTTCATGAACTTCAGCATAATATTGTGATGGTGAGAAAGAAAGGAGCCAAAGACCATTAAATACTGTACAGCCCATTAAATAATATACAGCTGCAGTAAAAAAGCACATTTGATTTAAAGAGACATTACACCACATATATTAAATTTAATCCCCCAGTATCTTTGAAACCAGCATAGCACTGTTATTTCAAACATAGAGATTATTGGGTAAACCCATACAGAAAGGCCTTAGTCTGCTGTTAGTAATAACAGAGATTGATCAAAACTTGATTATTTCCAGAGATGTTAAAAGCTGTATGAAATTTAAATACCATCTTTTGACTACTAACAATAGCCAATATTTTCATCCATTTGGGAGGAATGCCTATTGTTCAGTTTATTTATGAAGAACCAGCTGAGTCTAGTTGAGTCTGTTTGAATGGACCAAAGGGTAGTAAAAGTTCATCTTATTGGGAGATAAAATTGTTTTTGTTTTTAATGCATCTGATGCAGTAGACCACAATTCACAAAAGCTTATGTCAAATAAAACTTGGTATTTATTTTTTAATTTTATTTATTTCCAGGATTTATATCCCGCCCTTCTCCTACAGAGGGATTCAAGGCGGGTTACAGTATATTAAAAAAGACAAAACTAAAACATTGATTACAAAAGTTAAAAATGAATTAAATACTACTAACATTAAAACATGAATAAAAACAACATTGTTCAAAACAGTAAAAATCATTAAACATTAAAACAGCACACCACATTACCCAAATAAGATCTACTCACCAAACGCCTGTCTAAATAAAAATGATAGACTTTAAGGTAAGATCCATATATATAATGGTTTGAACAGGACTCGAGAGAGTGGGTTCCAGTTCCAAACTGAACTATAGCGTCTTTCTGTATCACACACAGTAGATTGATATTTTCATTCCAGCAGCTGTCCTGGGAGGACCACAACTATATGTTGCAAGTAGGCTGTTTTCTCTCCCCACAGTGGGATGTTTATAGATGTTTTCTACAAAACTAAGAAAGCTTGCATTGGAGGAGAATTTGCAATTATATGGCCTACCCATGGTGGAAGGATCCTCAGACCCCAAACATGTATAACTAGATCCAAAGCTTGGGAAATTTCCATTTTGGGGACTTAAAGTCCCAGAGAGAGCCAGCATAATAGAGTATCTCCCAAATAGCAACAAAACTAAAGAATCCAGAAGCGGACAGAAACATGATTGTGGTTTTGAAAAACCCTGCGACGCATTTAAAAGGTGAATTGCCACTCCCACCTTTCTTTTGGTGGATAGGTGGGGACAGAATAAATGAATTAATGGATTCATGTTTATTGCTAAAAGCTATAAGCTGCCACAATTCGATATAATTTGGACCAAAAAGTAAGCAGATAAAATACAGTAACAACAGTACACTTGAAATAGATTACAGATGACGAGCAAATGATACCAAAAAAAATGTACAAATATGGAAATATAAAATGATATTGAATATAAGTTAAAAGTCCCCACCTTTCTTTTGGTGCATAGGATGGGGCAGAGGAAGGGAGGTCTGGAGTAGTGGTCATAGAATCCATGTAACAGTTACTTTGTCTAGCCCACATTTTACCAACTTGCTTGCAAGAATTTCATGGGGAACCTTGTCAAAGGCCTTACTGAAATCGGGCCACAAAGCCAGTCCTGACAGTCACAAGATGCCCAGTCTACAGAAATGCACAGGAACCCAGAAGGCATTCAATGGGGTCAGTTTGGAACAAAATACATGGCATGA